TTGGAAGAGATCCACTTTCACTGCTGTGCCACAGGGCAACACCACTCAGAAGTAGGCTTTGGGGAGATTGTTTATCTGAATGTGCAAAGTTAGATCTTGAAGGCTTATTTATTTGTCCACTACACTGGCAGGCTTTTTTTGGATTGCTGACAAAGGCATTGTCATAGGTGTGACAGGCAAATAAATAAGTGAAATAAAAACAAACACTGGGACAAAGGGGTGCTGATAGAAAATTCCAGCAAATAAACCAAGACTTTTGGTTACAGCATATTTTGTGACTGCAGAAAATGCAAGCAAAGCATGTGAGTTATTAACTACTTCTCTATCATTTCCAAACTTCTGTCATGAGTGTCCACCTCACCTTATGCATGAGGGCAATGTTGTGTAGAATTATGACCAAGAATGATGTTTCTTGCATGACACTGTATATCAGCTGTGTTTACTGCACGTACATTGCCAAGGCTTGTGCTCAAGGCAAACGTACCACTGGGTCTGTACACGCACATGGGACACCCACCAGGGTATAGACATGATGCTTGGGGAAGGAGATCACCTTCCCTTCCAAAGCTGGTTTTGTCAAGTCTAATTACCTGTGCTGTTTTCCCCATGAAATCACTTTGCATCTCCAAGCTCACTTTCCCAGTTGCAGCGACCCTTTTGTTTCCTGTGCAAGAGCAGGTATTTCTGGGAGGCTGCTGCCTGGCAATGAGCACCAGGAGCTGCTTGGGCTTTCAAAGCCCCGGGCAGCTTCATTAGCCAAACAAAGGCCACACATCCAGAGCTCTACACAGAGGCAGGGGGTGATGTAGGAAAGCTCTAGCAAGCAGTTCTTCATTACATTATCCTACCTGCAGCCCCCTGGGAGTGGCCTGTTGTTGAAGGAGTTGTGATAACAAGCTCTCCAAGGAACTGGCTTTGTGATGTCCAGAGCAGGGGCACTTGAGATCATTCCTCACCAAAAGCCCACGACAAAACACCCTCAGGACTTTTCCTTTTAGGGTTCATTCCAGAAGCCCTGAAAGACACTTAGAGGTCTAGTTCATGCCTGGTTCCTCATGCAGTTTCTCACACCACGGTTTAGCAACTGTCAAACACTGACAGAAAGGGTGACCAATGTCTTTTCATCATCAGTGGCCCACACCCTCTCCAGAGGGCACTGCACCCAAGAGATACACCACTATTTTTTGAGGAAACTGCCTGAATCCCATGGTTATACTATAAAACTCCCCTGTCTGGCAGCTCAAAAAGTTCCTCCTGAACTTTGCCATGGAAATCTTTCACAAAACAAAACAAATTCTTCTCCCCAGAGAACAAAGACATTTACTTCTTGCTTCTCTTTCCTGAAGTCTTTTCCCAAAGAACTTCAATTATGACAAACAGGCATTGTAAAACTCAGCATGTTCACCATTTCTCTTCCTCTTCCCACCACTGCCAGTATAAATATCACCCTGAGTTAGGGGCTCAGTGCCAAGTTAAAATAATACTATCTTTGGGCTGGGGGTCTGGGTTCTCCAGAGATCACAAGGAATCTGTGATGGTGGGTGAGAAGGAGGGAGGAAGTTTGATCCAGGAACACCAACTGGGAATATTTTCACACTAAATTTCACACCTCCTCCCCTGGGTTTCAGTGAACAGTTACAGTGATGCACCATGCAGGGTCACCATAACGGCAGATCCATCCCTTGAACATCTCTGTAGCTCTCTAGGCTGCATGTCAGGGAGGGAACCTTGTTTGTTCTTCCTTTCCTCACTCCCACTCCCCCCTGCTGCGGTGCTTTTCTGGGAAACCCTGGGGGAAATAATTCTGGAAAAGAGGCAACAAATTTGATCAGGACTCCAAAGCTGTAGGCAGCCCACAGCCAGACACAGTGCTAGCCTCAGATGGGAGCCAGAGAATGTCAGACTTGGCAAACAGTGATTTCCATCCTGAAGCCAGATGGAAAATCAAATACCACAAAAAAATATTCCTGAACCTAAACTTCCCATCTGAAAAAAATTCAAGCTGGGTCAATTCACAGATTTCCTTGCAATAGTTTTACATTGAGTCATTTTATGTCAACCTTTAAAAGACATGTTTACTATTTTTGGCAAAAAAATTTCGTGTTTGAAAGCATAAATTCTAAACTTAAAAAAAGACGTATTTTCAACAATTTATGATGTTTTTTCGTTAAGAAATACTATTTGTTCCTTTTCCTGCAAGTCAGGGCTCCTTTTCTGCACACTCACACTCTGATATGGGAAGGGATTTGGGGTCTCCAAACTAGGGCTTCAAACCTCCATGCAAACCCTCCTCAGAGGGTGTGAATCTATGCCTGGTCACTTTGTAGGAATGCAGGTAGGGGCACAATGATTCCACCTCATCCTTTCCTTCCCCCAGAGAGCTCAGGGATGGGACCCTGCTCATAGGTTTCCATGCAGCACAAAAGGGCTCTGCAGTCCTTCCTTCCGTGGCAGAGAAGCTCCAGACAAGCAGTTTCTCTCTCCTGACCTTCCTGTTATCACCCCAATCCAAACACCCGCATCCCAACGAAATTGAGTCAAGATTGCCAGGAACTCATCTCCAGCCTCATTTTCCTTTTTCTCCTTTTCTCCCCGACGGTGAGGCCTCACCCGTGTGACAGCTTCATTACAAGTGACCTTCAGCTCCGGCTTTGTTGGGGAAGTGATTTAGAACCAAATTACTGATCTATTCCTTTCATCTCCTCCCTCTCACTGAGAGCAGCAATAGCAGCCCTGGAGAGGCCGCCTAAAACCGAGTGTTTTTAACACATTCCAGAAGGGGACACAGAGCAGGAAGCCACCCCCCAGCACAGGCCAACAGGAAGGGGCCAGACTGTTCTTGGGGAAGGGCCAAAACAATTGTACAAGTTTATTTCAAGGGTGTGGAGGAGTCTGGCTCAGACCAGCTCTTAAGGAGTTGGGGACTCCACTGAGAACAGACGGAGGGAAAAACACAGGGCAGGTGGGGGGTTGGAAGACAGGATGGCTGTGGCACATGGGCAGAGCAGAAGGGAGGTGGCAGCATGGACCTGGTGGTTGTGGGCTGGGTTAAATCCCTTTGGAAGCAGTGGGAAGAGCAGCTGCCTCTGAGTCAGGCGAATCAAAGCACACTTCTGTGTCTCTTCATTCGGTACAAACTGAAGCAATGGAGGAACAAGGACGGGGGTTGAGCTGAGCTGAGCTGCCACACGGCTTTGCTGTAGGCTAATGGCTCTGTGTGTGTGTGAAAGAGAAACAGGGAAGAGGAGAAGATGAAGAAAAAAAAATAACCAGAGCTGGAGCAGATCACTGAGAAGAATCAGAATAAGCAAGGGAAACTTGAAAAAATATCAGAGAGACGGTACCAGAGTAAAGGGTCATTAAAGAGACCTCTGCCTCCTAAAGGGCACTGACAGCCAGAGAGTTAAAAGCAGAGGAAACGGGGAAGCAGGAATTGGAAGTCCCAGCTCTCATCAAGTGAAGTGTTTCCAACCATTGTAGCCTAACGTGTCACAGGGGGCACCAGCAGCAGGTCCTTGAATGAGTGTCCAAATCAAAGACCTGAAAACCTGGCCTCACTCACAAGGCTCTCTTTCTCCTTCTTTTCAGCAGCAACATCCCCATGAGCCAACAGTTCCTGAGCAAGATTGCTGCATGATGAACACATAAAAGAGAATCTCTGTGATTCTTCACCCACCCAGGCTCAGGAACACAGGGTAGAGACACACTGAACCATTCAGGGAGTGAAACTGGTAGCAGGCTGTTTCACACAACCATTTCAGCAGAGTGATTTACCAGTTGAGAAGAATTTAATTTACAAACAGAAAACATAAAAGGGAAGAAAAGACTGTAAACAAGCAATAACAGAAGAGCCCAGTAATGAGAGGTTCACGCAAGAGGAGATTGGCTGATCCATGTGGTAAAGAGCAGCACAAAGTGGCTACAGGGAAATAGCAGGAAGAGATTAACTGCTGACACTAAAGTGCTATTTCCAGCTGACATTTGTCTCTGCCTTGGAATTCCCAGTTGGAGAGAAGAGGTGACAACAAACAGGAGGAATTTACACTGTCCACTTTATGCAAATCTAACCTTTCTGCACCTACCAGGTGGGGAGTATTTATTTACATTCTGGCTGCCTGACTGCATTGGCAGAGGGAGTGAATCCAAACAGAACACAGAGAAGGTCAAAGGGATACAGCTCATGACTGTAATTTCAGGCCTTGTTACAGGCATTACAATGTTAATGTGGCAGTTGAGAGATATGCACCCCAGGCAGATGAACTGGCAGGAGCCCTGTGCATGTGCCAGTGTATTCCACAAGAGCATTTCATTGCTCTCTGACAGGCAGGTTCAGAGATATTAATCTGTGCCTCAGTCCCTACCTCTGTCTTGCTCATAAAGGACCTCAGCAAATTCCTTTAGCTCACATGTGAAGAGTGATTAATTCTGGACCAGGCAGATCTGAGTCCAATCTCCTTTGCCACAGTGACTTTTCAAGATGCAAAGATTTGAGGCTGAGCAGTAACTGTGTGAATTTGTCACAATTTTAAACAGGAAGATAACACTTATATACCCTATCAAATTAACGAGTTCGTATTGCATTTTAACAAGTGAAAACAAATTGCCACCACCCCAGAATAAGACTGGCTTTTTTTTTTTTTATGTTAAATAACATCTCTTTGCAATATATAGTCATTATAAGCTTTTTACGTTAAAAAGTTGCTTTTTATCCACATAAATAGAGTGCAGTTGTCTCTTCAGCAGAAAACAGCACAAGAGCCCTTGGTACAAAAGACCAGTAAAAAACTAAAGACCCACATATTGAGATAAAAGTGCAAGGGGAAGACTTTGGATGAACTTCCAGTGCTGTTGCACCATATTGAACCGTGGTCACAACAGAGGAAATTAAAAACAGTGCCCCTAAAGGAAAACTTTTTTAAGTCCCTTGAATTCAAATTTAAGTCGAACATTTTATAACTCATGAAATTGGCTTAGAAAACAGGAAACTTTTAGAAGTGCACCTGGGTCAAATGTTCAGGCTCTTCACTGCGACTGTGAAAGGCTGCATTGACTTTTGGACACACCAAAATAGCTTGTGGCATGATGCTCCTCTAGGATCTGCAGGGTTGGAAAAAGAAGATGAAATAATACTGAGTTCACAGTAAATACCATAGAAAGGGTCAGTGTTTGAGCAAAATCACTGGTTCTTCAACTGATTCCCCATAACACATGGCAACACTGGGACCAAACCAGTTGGTGTCACATTAAGAGCCTTGTGCAGACAAAGCTGACAGATTCCCAACAGAGAACAGGGACAGTGTCTCCTATAAAATCAAGTTTTTTCAGCACCTCTCATCCAGCCCAGTTGTGCTTAGCAGGCAGGACCTGACAACAGCCTGAGGTGATGTGGCCGTGGGGCACACCAGGGCCACCTTTCTGAACCAGGCACACCCTCACTTGCCCCCACCCTGCACCTCTGCCTGCCCAGGTTTGTGCAAGAAGGGCAAAAAGAAAAAGGATTTGTGAGGGCCAGAGGAAAAAGGCAGAGAAAGAAAAATCCCATAGGATAAAAGAGATGAGAATTTCAAGGTAGTTTGAAGGCAGTTAGTGAAGTCAAGAGCCCAGGCTGACCTGGAGTCACGGCAGTGAGAAAGTAAATAGACTTTTAAAGGCTTAGACTGAGGTTTTCAAAGCCTTTTCAACAACTAGGCTGTTCATTTCCATTTTATTGGATTGTAGCCAAGAAAATCCTGTGGGCTGCTCTGATTCTGGAGGTCTGAATTCGGAAAAGAGAAGCTAGACTTTGCTTTATTTTTTTATCTTTTAGAGAGAGAGAGAGAGATCTATATAAAGAATCAGAAAAAGCAGTCGATCATTTCCTTCAGCATCAGAGAGCCTGAAGGAAGGGTCAAGAATTGCAGGCTACAGACTTCTCCCATCCCAGTTCCAGAGACCAGAAAAAGCCCAGCCATAGGAGCCAGGTGGGTTGCTTGTCTTTCCAATAGGAAACAGCAGCAGGGGAAATTAGTTCCTTCTGTTTTCCAGCTCTCGTGAGCTCTGGGTTAAGAAGATTTGGGGCTTCAGTTCTGTCAGACCATCAACTGCCCAGCAGGTAAAGAAAGCAGTAAGTGGAAAGTAATTGATAGCAGCAGGTAGCTCCAATAAGTTTCTTAATCAATACAATTTGTAGCAGAGACAGCTCCAAACACTGAGTTAGGGAAGCCCAGTTTAATGTGTTTATAACTTTTCTCATTTTGTTTTGCTCATTTTTCCTTCCCAATTTCTTTCAGCAGTGTTTTTTCAAGAACTAATTTCTCCACGGACGTAACAAGTTCATGCTTCACTCACCATTTCCTCACAAACTCCTTGTAAATTGAATTACCTGTGTGGCAAAGGGGAAACTGCCCTAGTTCTCCTGGCTCCTGAGTGGAGCTCAGACACGTGGCCCTGCTCTTAGCAGAGAGAATTTTTTTTCCCCTCTTATTTGATTTAAAGTGAAGATAAATTAGTGGAAAGCGAATAAAAAAGACCCCCTCCCCCAAAAGAGTGAACAGCACAACCAAACCACCCCAAAACACCTGTACTATGTGATGTACCTCCTACCTGAAAGCCACTGGAATATGCAGAGAATCTTTTTCTTTTCCTTCTCCAGTAACAAAGATACAGAAACTTCTGTTTCCCAACACTATTCCTCTGGAAAAAGATGACCATCAAATTGGCTACATGGACAAAGTGATACAGGGGAATTTTCTCTGTATCAAGAGCATTTTTCCTCTTCCTTGTCAGCTGAGATGGGAAATGAAAGAGCTGATTTACAGTTCTTTTCACAGAACCACAATCAATATTTTTCAATACACAGACAAACAAACCCATGTTTTACCCTGAAAAGTTCTGTTTTGGTAAACATAAAACTCTGGCTGTTATTATTCCAAATAACCAGATGGAGAATCACGGAAAAGTCCATCTTTGTCAATTACTAACATTTTCCAGGAAATTTTTAATTAAAACCAAATTTCCAGTGGGTAAAACCCCCATACTTCCCAGCAAAATGCTAAAAATACTGAGAAAGAGTCTTGGGTAAAATTTTTGGCAAGACAAGTAGAAAACCTGTTCCATGGGAGATGTACAATTCCGCTCCAGTGACTCAGCAGCCCCAGACACACTTCCAAGCTGCTGCTTGTTCTTCCAGGACTATTATATAAACTTTTCCCTCTTCAAGAAACTTTTCACTATGGAAGATGGTTTAGGGGAAGACAATTAGTCAAGGCTTTCGTCCATTCCGACTGAGGAATCCAGAACAAGGACATTAGAATTTAAGGTATCAGAGACTATCCCTTGTCCTCATACACAGAGCGGGAAGCGGCAAGAGGGCAATCCCTAAAAAGCTGGTTCCCTGTTCCTGCAGGACAGAGGTACAGTTGTGGTTGGACAGTTGCTTCTGAAGCTTTTTCAGAAGAGCTTTCATCAGTCTTTTCTCTCAGAGAACCTTGGCCTTCTCGAGCTCACCGTGAGGAGGTTCTCTGTGAGGAGGGGACAGCTTTCCTGGCACAGATCGTCCCAGGGGACTAGAAGAGAGAATCCTTCAGTGAGGACCCTAGAGAGGAGTTAAAATTCTCCCATGTGCAAAGATCCAGCCCAGGAAGGCCTAGGTGCACTCTAAGCCCCCTTGACAAGCCCTCAGGAGGATGCTGAGAAACATTTGAGCCTGTGCCCAAACCTTGAGCAGGGAGATTTGTCTTCATCCCTGGGAGCAGAAGTGCTGTGTCAGCCTTCAGAGAGCTGCAGAAGGGCCTGGGACCTGGTGGGGAACTCTCCACACCTCTTTGGAAGGGGGCTCCTCAAGCAAAGCCCACCTGCAGCAATGCCAGGAAGAGCTGCTGTGTCAGGGAGACAGTCCCCCTTCCTTTGTGAGACATTTTAAGCGAATGAATAATTCATCCTGAATGACTTTGAGCCGAGGTAACGCTCCATGTTACCACCTGATTATATGTTCCATAAAAAGAGATGACAGCAATTTATCTCTCTTCTCTTGCCGGGTGGGCTGGTGGGGGGATAAATATGCTGCCACCAAACTGGAGTGATGAATCATCCCTCAGATGACACTTTCACTGATTTGGCATGTAGTCCTTCCCAGTGGAAGTGGTAGGGACAGGGACATCGACACAAGTCTCCAGGAAAGGAGGGAAGACCATGGGTAATGGAGGGCTCAGTTCTCCCTGTTCATCCCCATAGGATTGGGAAGTCCCCAGCAAAGCCATCCAGGCAGGAAAACCTTTCTCCTGAGAGCAGTGGAGTCTGCAAAGATCATGTGCTCACGTTGCTGTCTGGTGATAAGGAAATGAGTGTCATTCTGCTTTATTATTGACTGAACAGTGTGATTAGACTGAAGGAGGGGAGCCCTGTTACACATTCCCCAAAATCATGCTTCTTTCTGGTATAACCAGCTGTGTAGCACATGCCTGTTGTTCAGCTGGGAAATGGGAGTGAGAGATTTGTCCCGGGAATTAAAGCACAGCTTTGCTTAAAGGAGAGGAGCCTGCAAGTGGCTGCTGCTCTGGCTAGAGGGAAAGTCCACTGCCCTGTCCTTTACATGTGCCCCCTTAGGCCAACTCAAACCTTTCCAAGAGGGGATCATTAGCTCTGCCAATACAGGGCTTTTTGGATGATCTAAAACCTCCAAGCATGGAACAATTAGGGCAAAGTCTGAGAAGTGAGGGCTTCCCTTCCTTAAAAACCTTGATGCCTTGACAGTAATAGCAGTCCTTTATGGTCATATCCCATATGTTTATGGCCACAGGGACAGCTGCTATCAAGCTACACCAAGCCAAAGTGTTTCATCTCCTTGCCCACAAGCAACATGTCCTGCTGAAAGTTTTCTCCCCTTGCCACAACCCCTCTGCACGTGCTCAACCTCTGTCCTCAAACCCAGCCGTGCTTCACTCTGCACCACAAATCCTCAGCACCGGCTGCACCCACAAGGGCTGGAGTAAAGGAAACATTTCCCTGTGCACGTCCACACCTCCAGTGCCTTCACCTGCACACTTTGTTCTGCTGGCTCCGTCCTCCCCGCCCCTCCCAGCCTGCGAGGGGCTGAGACAGCATGTAAATGTGCTACAGACACATCCTCCCCGCCCCCGTGCTGGCTATGGGGAACATAAAACACAGCGGAGATTGCTGCTATTTCATTATTTATGAAGCTTTGGTTATTTCGTATATAAATAATCCATGACTGCAAAGTGTTGCTGGCACTGTAATTGAATATTCATGAGGTATTTTTGTTGAGAATTTTCACCATCGTTTCAAACCCAGACACGAGAATAAAAACCATCATAATAAAAATTTCATCTGTCATTTCACGGTTTCAACCTCTGGGAAACTCAATCTCTCTCCCACCCTGAGGGCTTTCTGTGCAGGGGGGACACAAACCAGGAGGGTTAATCTGGAAGGGAAGTTCACGCCGCATTGGGAAGAAGTGGGAACATCCCGCATTGGAGCTCTGCCTGCCATCCCTCAGCGCTGTCAGGATGCTTCATCTGGGGATGTACGCTGCCTGCACCGAGTTCATGCAAATTCCTTCTCTCCCTCCTAGAAACACTTCTCTTTTCAGGTTTAATCCCAGCCAGAGCCTCGCCGGAGAAGCGCCCAGGTGGGATGGCCCTCATGGAAAATGGAAGCGTGCTGCTGCCACCCTGTGGAAAACGGTGGCCCCCAAGTGCTGGGGACCACTCCAGATGTTCACAAGGCCACAGCTGGTGTGGTGGTCAAAGAGCTATGGGAGGCTGCCGTTGTCCTGGTGAGACCCGGAGGTAAAGAAACCAGGGAATTTCCGTTCAATAACTTCAGGATTTTCAAGGAAGCTGTTTGGATGCTTTACAGGAGGGATTGATGGTGTCTGTGCCATCCCTGTGGTGCACAGTGGGCACGTCAGCAGGAGGATGAAGTGCTGCTGCTGCAGAGGCTCCCAAGGACAACTTTGGCAAGTTCCTGACACAGTCAATGATCTCTTGAATCCCAGGATAGTCAAATGTGCAGCTTCACCTGCTTGCCTTGCTAGGATTCCCCCTTTTCCCCCCAAGGCTCTTTCTTCACTGTGCCTTTCAGCTCCTTCTATTCCACACACACAGAAAAAGGCAACGTGAGGACTAAGCAAAAGGCAGCAGCACTATCCAAACTGTTCCCTTTCCCTGTTTGCCATCCACATCTTCTGTGAGGAGGCTCCACAGGTGCCTGCATGGTGCACAAGCCGCTGTCCCAATTCTCCTCTACAATTTCTTTAGATCACAGCTCCTTTTCCAATTCTGTGAAGCACTGCATGCACAGCAGGGAAACAGCAGCAGGAGAAACAGCATGGTCCCAACCCTTCCAACACAGCCTCCCCCAACCCAAACTGGGGCATATGAGAGCCTGGCAGCCAGATCTGAGATCCACATCCCCCTCAACCTGCCGCTGTCCACGTGCAATGGGGGTGTGTGAGGCTGTGTCGCGCCAGCACATCCCAAATGGGGCCGGAGCTCTGGGAGCACTTTGCCTTCCAGGAGTGATTTATGGGCCCTGTCAGTCCAGCAGACTGAGCTGCACAGACAGCTGGAGCGTGCAGCAAAGAGCAGCCATCCATCAGCACCGGGCCACAGTCACCCAGGAATCCATCAGCAGCTTCATCATGGTGACATCTTCACAGAGGCAGAAGGAGGAACAAAGGGAAAAGACGGAGACAGATTGAGCCCAGAGTGGAAAATCCACCCAGGATTTCTCAGAACTCCAGAGACACAGTGGCAAAGCAACATGAAACACATTTTTTGTGCTTGTAGCAATTGAGGTGGTCCTGGTTTAAAGCCACAAATTGCAACGCCTCACAGAGCTGAGCAGGGCTTTCTGCTGTCAGCAGCAATCAGGAATTGCTTTCCCATTTGCTGGTAGGTATTACTCATTCCCAGGTATGATGAGTGGATGGGTTTGAAGGTAAGGGCATTTTATTGCTCAGTAATCAACCCCAGCTTCACTACAGGGGAGAAAGGTGATGCCTGTACTTCAAGAAGTATAAAGCAAGCTGCAGCAGTTTGCTGTGTGGCACTGGAGTTTGTATTTTAACTTAGTGGTGCCTCCTCAGCAGAAGCCAACCTGCTCCTCCAAGAAAAGCAGGTACACAGATACACATACCCCAGACCAACGGGGCCACAGGCATGGGCCAAATCACAAAAACACACAGGATACTTACAGAAACCCCAATAGACACCAAAGTTCAGAAAAATTTATGTACAACAGGTCAGCGCACACCAAGGAAAGGGGCAGACACAGAAATATGTGTCTGGAATCTACAGGTGTGGCAGGAATACAGGAGATGCACAGAACACCCCCTGTGCTGTGCCATGATGAGCACAAGAGCACAGTGTCCTGTCTTTGATCTACAACTCAATAATAAGAGATGTATCAAGTTCTCCATCAACACAACTTCTCTCCATCCCCAAACTCCATAAAAAAACCCCAGAGAACATGATTTCTCCTAAATCTGTGTTAGGCACCGGGGAGAGAGGTAAAGAAAAGAAGAGAGCATCTGCTCTTGGAGGAGAGAAAAGCAATTTACCTTTGAATAGGGAGCAGCAGAACAAAGCACATTATTTCTTTTTGCTCCAGGGACAGACACCGTGGTTATTCTGAGTCATGCTGATTACAGGTTAAACATGTGCTCCCAAAGCTCAGGAGAGGAGGAGGGTGTATTGGGACCTGTCAGAGCAGCATAAATCAGCTGAAAATTTGACAAAAAAATAATATTAGATGAACAAAAGGGTTCAGAAGATGGAAGTAGGGACAACAAATGTATTTGGACATCACGAAGTGGATAACATTCAGTAGGTGCAAGTGAGATGGGGGGATCAGGGAGAGCCTCTGTGGGAAGCAAGCAGAGGTGGGCATGAGCTGGAGCAGCTCAGGAGAAGAGCAGGTACCTGGGACTGTGAAGGAGGGGTTACAGACCTCCTGACCCAGGCTTGTTTCTGATATATGTCTCTTCTGGGGTCCTTTACTTGCCTCCAGAAGACCCTGTCCCCAGCTAAGCCATCCATGCAGTGTGTGACTGCCTGCCCTGAGAACACAGGAGAGCGTGGGCACAACACGACTTCCAGTGCCAGGGGAGCTGCTTTTCCAGCACAAGGCAGGCTGAGCTGCATCCAGTTACCTCCAGGATTCCCTGGTGCCATCTGAGTCACACGGACTGCGTGGAGCCATTTGAGTTTATGATCCTTTTATCTCTCTGACCAGGGGATCATACGCTGCTTGTCCCAAGAAGAATAATGAAGCCTCATACATTACACATCCCCCAAGGGACTTAATTTCCCTTAATCTAAGGGGAGGATTTGCCTTCAGTCTCCAGCCCTTTTATTATCCATTTGTTGCTTCATCTGCAGCACAGATCATAAAGGAATTTTTTATTTTTTAAGTCAACCTTTGCTTGGGTCTCATTAAGGCCTTACACGAAGTCCCAGGCTGCTCACAGCTTAGAGAAATAAAGTGAGACAGAGGCACTGAAGGCTGGATGGCCTTGTCCCCCCTCTTAACAGTGCACTGCAAGGACGAGGGGATGTCTGGCTCAAAACCAGGAAAATTAAATGATGGCTCAAGAGAAATGCAGCATTGACACTTACCCTTCCCTCAGACCCATGTTTGCTTGTGATGCTCTGACAATCAAGACTGGTTCTGGTTTGGTGAAATACTGCTATTCTCACTGTGGGAGCAGCAGCAGCATTAACTGGTGAGCCAAGACTCCTCAGTGCTGTTCAAAGATACACCAAGAGGATTCCCATCCCAGGGAACACATCCAATGTTCTCAGCGTTTTAAAGATGTGAGGCACTTTGCAGGCTATAACGATGGCAGGCTGTGGCTACCGAATTCTGCTCCTAGCTCTTGCACTGATCCACAGCCTGTTTACTCATATTTCCTATTTGAGCATATTTCTTCACTTGTCTTTGCATTTCTTTCCTCCTCTGCAAAATGGAGTCTTACTATTAGAGTGGATTATTTTAAATGGTCTAAGTGCCAGAATGGTGCAACTCAGCATGTAAAGGGGGCTCTAGAGGGTTAAAAAACACACTCCTTTCTCTGCCTTTTTAACAGCTGTGTGTTAGCAAGAGGGAATCCATGTCTGGGGCAGTACGTGACCCCTCAGTGCATTTGCCCCAACCCCTTTACCAGCTGTACATATACATGTATGTGGTATTGCCTCTGACAGTGCTGCTGTTTTATTTCCTCCCCTTGCTGTTCTCACTGAGCTAGAAACTGGCACTGAACTGAAAGTAATTTCCTTTCATTTTAAATAAATAATAATTTAACAATGTATGCTGCTGAATTCATTCTTGCGTCAAAGGGGAGATAACTGCACTTCCCAGGCCGGAAAGACTGAGAGGGGAGGGAGGCAGGGCTTTATAATTAAATTTGCCTTTTCTCCTTTCATTGTGCATATCATTTAAAATAAAAGAGTTTAAAAAAATAAAAAAAAAAAAAAAGAGAAAAGCACACACAGAGCCTTGTGTCTGTCTCAGCCCCAGGAAAATGGAGAAACTCCCTCTTGTTTGTCTCTTGCTGCTACTTCCATATGTCCACATGGATAACACAGGTAAGGGGACCTTTTCAGCTCTGGTGGGTGCAGCACAGTAGGAAAAAGCAGAGCTAATTCAGCTGCTGCCTGAGAGAAGAGCAGAGACAGGAAACCTTATTAAGTTGCTTGGTATCTCCTTTGACATCTCATACCTGTAATGGGCTCTCAGGGCACTGCTCACCTGTGGTAGAGCCAAAGTGCCATAGCAGAGGGCACTGTGACTTGCTTGGGATTATTAGGAAATTCACTGTATCCACATGTGCTTTAATCCCATGTATGGACATCCCCTGATCTTGCAGGCAGCTCACTTCCAGCACGGCCCCTGGTCCTAGAACTGTCTCAGTTCTGTGAATCTCTTTCCCTGCCCCTCCTTCCTTTTCATAGGGAAGGTTTTTCTCTTTGCACCTTCTCTATTTAGTATGGCAGAAAGGGAGGAGGAAATCACCTTCAGCTTTCCTCGCCATCTGCATCCCGATCGTTCCAGTGGGATTTGGGCTGCATTCCAAATTGTTCCATTTGCAGCGTATCTGGGGCAGAGGGAGGACAAGTTGACCGTGCCATGTCTCAGTGGATAAGCCTCCAGAGCAGCAAGTTTCTGGGACCTTTCTGTCCTGGCCACTCCAGTGGTGGCAGTGTGGGGCCACTGAGCCCCCCCTTACACAGCACCTCCACTGACCTGCCAGTCTGCAGCACGGCCCAGGAAAAACAAACAGCTCTCCTGCAGGCAAAATTTAAACACAAGGAAACAATAAAAAATACAAAAGAGGCATTACTGTGCATTGTAAAATAATGAAACCAGGTTTTTTTCAATTTGTTTCTACCCCAGAATGCGGCAGTGATCAGCACTTTACGAAAGATGCTTCTTCCACATCCTGGCATATGTTATTACTGTTATTAATAGCCAGCCATTCCCGGGGGCAGCACTCTGTACAGGTACATTTATTTCCTTCACAGCCCTGTCACCCCCTTGCTGGTGCTCCAGCTCCCTACAGCACATCCCACTATGAGACAGAGGCAGATGGAAAGTTAGGCACCATTCTGCCACACTCCAGACACTGTTCAACCTCATTCTGTCACTCAGGATGTGCCAGTTGCTAGTTTTATATCATCATAATGGCATTACCTGTGTCTCATACCACGGTTATTTCCTGCTCCTTCCTCCTAAATCAAAACTGCCCTTAGCAGAGAGAAATACTTGGACACTGTCTCCTTCCCTCTGAGCCAGCAGGAATGGGAGTTATCAACAACTTGCTGCTCAGTAATGAGGCAAACTCTCTCCTAGTTTGTTTTTCTCTGTCCAAGTGCTGACACACCTTCTGCCCCCTGAGCAGGATCTCACATGTCCTTCCATGGGACACTGGCTGTTTCTCAGGAGGGCTGCAATAAGCTGGTACATGCCTGGGTGTTACTGTGGCCACCTCACCATCCTCAAGTTCCCAGTCACTCCCTCACAGAATTCCCTGGCATTCAGACACGTGAGGGAGTTATGAACTGGGCCTTAGCAATACAACATGCAACAGCTGAGCTGGAATAATCACCTTCCAGCCAACCAAGGTGAGATAAAATGGACAAGCAAGCCAGTGTACACCTTTGTTTCACTGCCTCTCCTCCCTCACCTCAACCACACACGCTCTGGGGAAGGGACAATGTCTCCCAGTGTCCAACAGAACAGGAATCTGCCCTTTGGGAGTCACAGCAGAAATCACAGCAACAACCCAGCCTCAAATCCTGGCAAAACAAGAGCAAGGGGACCATCTTCAGAGAAATTTGCACCTTCGGGGGTTCTGAGGCTGGACCAGAACACACCAAGTACATTCTCTCCTGAGACAGATGTGCTGAGCTCCTTCCTCGGCCTAATTTGTAGCAACTTGTGTAGGTCACGTTTGCCTTGCCTGGGTGGGATGAGGCTCTGGACAGTCCCTGCAGTGCTAAACCAACCCCTGCCAGTGATGCAATCCAGGTTTGTGAGCACTGGAGAAATCAATAGCCTTGGGAAGCTGGCCATCAACACCACTGCCTGCTGGCCACGTTCGTCACCAGCACAAGGTAACAATGTAGAACCATTTAATAACACAGCTCATTAGGCTTCTGACAACAGGAGATGATGGAACTAAGGCCTCAAACATACACCCTCATGAGTCTACCTGCATGTGCAGTTTTAGGTTGGGTATGCTATACTTCCAGCATGTGAGGAATACGTGTCTGGCACAAGATTCAGAGGGCAATTTCCTGGGAAAACCATATAGAAATCCCCCTGAGGGAACAAGACAGAATGGTCAGAAAACTGTTTGGGAAATAGTTTACATGAAGCAGGCAGTGGTGACCTAGATCAGACAGTTTCTTTGGCTTCCCAAGGTCAGGAAAGCAGCCAGAGCTCAGTTCTGTCAGGGAAACTCCAAAACATCCACTTCCGGATGTTCTATCCTACATTATAACTTCTCTCTCCTTATCCCAGAGTCTTGACGACTCTGAGGCTTCTCTGTTGCTTCAAATACAAACATTCATGGAGAGCAGAGCCCTAGTGGACAGCCAGAGTGCAGTTAGGGACATGCTGCAGTCGCATCCGAAGCATCTCAATAGCTGCAAGCTTAGAAGTGGTTTTCACACGAGGAAAGACCAGTCCCTCCACCAAGCAGCAGAAGACAACAAGGACAGAGGGCACAGCTCTCCTGTCAGGACCATTATGCCACAGACCAAATCCACCAATAAAACAACAAGGACTAAAATCCTGATCCCTTTGAAGCTGGTGACCAACCCACCACTGATTTTAAGGAGTTGTGGGACACTACCCACAGCCCCTCTGCACACCCTGTATAATGCCAGAGGGAGGCAGGGGTTGTGTGGAAGCAAGAGCAAGGCTCCAGCTGTTACAGCCCAAAGGAACAATTGCTCATTAACCTGCATAACACAGCCTCTGATGGAGCACAGGGTCAAAACAGACCAACACGTTTCTGCAGCAAGCCAGGCCATCTAAGAGATCACACACCTTTTGGAAACCCTCCCCCCATCCTGATTCAAAGACTCCTACCAACAGTCATCCCATCTCAGTCCTGGGCAAGTTGCTCCAATACCTAATTATCACATTGTTTATGTTTTATTCCCAGCCTAAGAAAGTCAGACACACTTCCAGCTATTCAGCTTCCAGGCACTGGATCTCACTGTGGCCACTGTCTGCCAGATTAATGAGCTTTCTATTATCAGAAATCTCTTCCTTGTACTTACAGACTGTGATCAAGTCACCTCTTTAGCTTCCTTTGTATAAACCAGATGCAACTTCTTGGCACTGTCACACATCACAGAGATGTATGAGGATAAATATACACAAGTTGTGATCCTAACATGATGAAAGACAGAATTTCCACGAGTGCAGCCATTATTCAGAGCTGTTCACTGGGTTTATCTGTACTGGACATAAAATTTTGATAAAAATTCACTGGCTTGAGCAGTTATTCCTTTGCTGTTGGCCAAGTCAGATAGAACAGTTTCAATTGAAAGGCATGGAAGTGTGTAAATGTTCAAGTTGACTCCTCTGAGTGCTTGTGCATGAAGCTTCAAATTACTTCAAAAAACCTCTACACCGGCAAAATGCACCTGCTTAAATATTTGGGAAAAGAAGTATGGGGTAAAATCAGAGTCAGGTTTTCCCTAATATTCTTCTGCTTCTAACAGGAGGGGCAATATGATTTTGGCAGGACATGCAAACACTCGGTGCCCACAACAGGTTTCAGATTTTCAACAGAGCTCAGCACCTGGGTGAGTCCAGGCTGCTCTTTGGGAAACCATGCACTAACAGGTTCCCTGAAATCATGCAGTTTAATCATAGTGCTTGTTTGCAATATGCAGCCTGCACTCTATCCTCATTCCAGCTGTTGTTACAGCTTTCATTTTATTCTTCACATGTTTTCCCCTGACATCCTTCAGGAACGTGGAGACTTATTTCCCTTTCCCCTCTACCACACAAGAGCTCATAAAGTAGCACGACAGGCAAAAGATCTGAAATACTTTAACAAATAGAGCAATGCAGCTGAACCAGGAAAATCAGAATTAACTCAGTTCAGTTCTTGGCTGGCCATTCTCGGCTTTCTTATTCTCTAAACAAACATACCTCCCTCATCTTGGAATTAGCATTCCCTTTAAATGTTTTCACACTCCAAAATTGTTTCTAAATGTGCATATTAGGTGGTGAAACAACTTACTCTGCTAATCTACACAAGCTAACATTCATCTCAGCAAAAGCCTATTATATTTAATGTGCCTTCTCCTTCATTTCTCAGGATTGTGACACTCAGGAGCACTAATGAAACCAGCAGACTGACTCTTTACCTGGAACTAGAGCAAGCTGAAAAAAAACCTGGTGGTTTGGGGAAAGTTTTTTATATAACTGCACCCCAAAAAAGCAAAGTCTGTCATGCTCTGCCTCACCTGAGGACCAGCCCGGAGATTCTAACAGACCTTGCTGTCAGTCACTGAGTTTAACAGGACAACACCTGGGGTGTCCAGGATGGTGACAGAGCAGGTCACTGCTGGTGTGCAAGGAAGACAACAGCACTCCAGCCTTTGCCAAGGCTCCTGGAGGGTAAAATGCTTGCTCTGACCACTGGGAGGAATTCAGTGCTGCTATGGTTAAACCACCTGCAAAAACAACACAAGCTGCACCAGCAAAAGACACTTTTGCAGGTGTCAGTAGTGTCTCTACAGAAGAAACCTACGGGATCTGTCCGTGATTTTTCACATCTCTTCCTGGTAAGATTGTCTGGTAAACACTCTAGGTCTGGGGCAGAATACAAAGTGACTTTCAACTGCATATCTGTCAAGGACACAGAACGATGACAGGCAAGAGTTTGAATGCACTCAGCTGCAAAATGGGACCGGGGTGATTTTAGGCATTAGTTTAATCCATATCTGAGACAGAATTGGGTCGCACTCCTGGGAAGATGCTCACAAAGCACTGGCCAGGGAGGAGGGAGACAGTAGCCTTTGTCTCATTTACCAGCACACTTCTAACTGTGAAAAGGCTTTTCTAAAGCTATGTAAAGTGTGAAGTCCCATCAGGAGGTGTCTGGCAGGTTTAAGTGTGTTCTTGCATTGTTCCTGGGTTGTAACTGCAACGAGTAAAGAGATTCTGGCAATTTATTTTGGGCAGAGAAGGGAGAGGGCAGCTTTCAAAAGGGTTTGGACAGCTGAAAGGTAGGTAGGTGTGCTTGGGACACTTCAGGGATGCCATGGATTGGGTTGTGCTGGATATCCACATACTTGGGACTGGGGACTGCTGGTGTGCTGCTGCCTCTGTGGTGGCACTGAGGCAGTCTGAACAGTGAGGGAGCCTCCACTGTACAGCTCAGAACTGTGTGGATCCTACTCAGATCACTGCTCAGATCACTCCACAGGAGAGAAGGGGTTTGGGGGAAGCTCCAATCCGTGTCTCTGCAATGCAGAACCTGTGCAGAGCCCCAGCACCTGGCACAAGGGGAAGGGATGGATGTGTCTGGCTCCACCCCAGTCACACCCATCTCCCCCAAACCAGAGCTCAGAA